GGGGGAGGGCGCGCATCAAAACTCAGACTGTTGGGCCCCCTGCCCAGAGCTTCTGCTTCAGTAGATCTGGGATAATGCCTAGTCATCTGGTATCTCTAATCAGGTGATGCTGACTGCTGCTGGTCCAAGGACCACAACCTAAGAACCACTGCTTTATTAAAGGAAGACTTTTGCCTGGGTTGTTTAGAGAGAGAAAAATAGTTCCTCATCAAAATGTATCTATCAGGCTTCCCTGGTGGCGCAGTGGTTGAGAGTCCTCCTGCCGATGCAGGGGACACGGGTTCGTGCCCCGGTCCGGGAAGATCCCACATGCCGCGGAGCGGCTGGGTCCGTGAGCCACGGCCGCTGAGCCTGCGCGTCCGGAGCCTGTGCCCCGCAACGGGAGAGGCCACAACAGTGAGAGGCCCGCGTATCGCAAAAAATAAAAAAAATAAAATAAAAAATGTATCTATCATAAGTACAGTAGAGGACATAATATTTCTGCAAAGTCATTTAAATGTGGGGAGAGGAAGGTTGGGTTTTGTAGAAATGGTTTTGCATTAAATAACGTGCATTAGTTTTGCATTATAAATCATTTCCCTTATAGAATACCTGTTCTCTGAATTCCATTGTTTTGCAAAGTCAAGATTTGCTTTACCATCTGCCTGAAGTCAGGTGAGCTTGCTGACCGTAAAAGTTCGATAAGAGTTACAGTACCAAGAACTTATTGTGTTGATTGCTCATGGCAGAGCCATTCTCTTCGTGCAGCAATGTCTCCGGACAAATTCTTTTTTCCCAGCCTCAGTTTTCTCAAAAGTCGCGAGGAGATTGGATCACATCATCTCTAGGAACTCTTTGTGTTAGGTCCCTCATTCCTAGCAGATATTTTCCCCAGCTTTATTGAGATATAATAGACTAGCAGATGATTTTTTAGATCAGTTATGTCTGCATATAATTTCAAAAGCCAAATATTCTACAAGGCTTGAACATGATGCACCCCTCCCCCCCCCCCAAAAAAAAAAAGAAACAGCAGGTCTCCTGCCATTCTCCTCCTTGAGGCAGTCACTTCTAACTCTTTTAGTGGGTTGTTTTGGCATTCATCTCATCTCTGAATAACAGTTTACTTATTAATTGTGCAGTTTTTGTCTTGATCAGGTGATACTCTACCACTCACATCACCTCTCTCTCTCTTTTCATATATATGTGTGTGTGTCTATACATATATATATATATATATACATCCT